CAAAATCCAAATGTGTATGTGTGGCGAAAATGTGTTTACATTTAATTATCCCTGAGTTTCTAGACATTAAATATTAAATCTGCAAGTATGCTATTTTCATAAATATTCACAGTAATAATATTTGAGCTCTGGTTCAATATTTGTTTAAATATGTTAGATTTAGATAATTACCAAGAATTAAACAGTATTTTTTTCCATTTTTTAAAAATTTCTTTATTAAGGTATTACTTATTTGTCCTCATCCCCCCTTTATTGGAATATACTTTCAGTTTTCGAATATTACATACTGTAGTAAGGCATTAGTTTCAATTATACTTAATCATATAAGGGAGAAATTTTTTTTTTAAGTTTATATTTTTTTATATTTTACTGATTTTTCACAGAGAGGAAGAGATAGGGATAGAGAGTGAGAAACATTGATGAGAGAGAATCATCGATCAGCTGCCTCTTGCACACCCCCCACTGGGGATGTGCCCGCAACCAAGGTACATGCCCTTGACCGGAATCGAACCCGGGACCTTTCAGTCCGCAGGCCGCCGCTCTATCCGCTGAGCCAAGCTGGTCCGGTCCCAGCTATATAAGGGAGAAATTTAAAGTGACCCAACACAGATACTACTTTGAAAAATGTTAATACTCTGATTTACGGAAAAAGGAGTCAATTCATTTAAATAGGGGTATAATTAACCAATTTAGAGAATATTCTATTTTACATATTTAGTTTCTGTTTGGTATATTAGATATTCAAAAATTTGCCATATAAAACCAAATGTTGTATCTTCAAAAAAAATCCATTTGGTCATTTTGGTTGACATGTATTTGTGATCAAAGCAATGCACCAAAATCAATATTGGTGAAAAGTGATTGTAAGTCAGAATAATTTTCAATCTAATAATTCATTACATGAAAAGTGGCACTCTGAATATGGTAGCAGGAGAATTTTTAACTGCAATACTGAAATTATACAAGATCTATACATAGTCAATTCTTGTCATGTCTCCATTAGAGCAAATTAATAATAAAAGCAAAATGAAATTAAAGAAAAAATATTATCTATATATTTTTAAATCTGTTCAACTGAGTAGTACTATTTTTTAAAGCCTGTTAATATAATGAGACCTTTTAGCTGGACATTAGAGGAATCTTAGAAACTAATACCCAACAATTAAAGTTACATAAATCATGTCACCTTAAAAACAATGAACACTAGGTTTTTACTCATTTTAACCATCTCTGTTGATATTCATATAAACACATTTGTTATCTTGAAAATAACTTAAAATTTAAGTGATATGATTTCTCCTTTAAAATATTACTAAAATATTCCAAAATTAGTATTTCAAAATAACAGCAAAATTAAATCAGGACATTTTCTTCAAGGTTCATTTATCTAATTTTCACAACAAATCTAAAATTCAGAGAAGCATTACCAATATTTTTTAACTAAATACAGAATGGTAATGAGAGGCCTATTCACACTTAAACAAATAGTAAGATAAAACCAGCATTACTGATATGAGTATTAGTGAATAAACAAGCTCCCCAAGAAAGCCCCCAAGCTGCACTCATTGATGCTTCCCACTTTCTGAAATCATTACTGATACAACATTCAAAGTAGTGAGAAAAAGTACAATCAGCAATACAATCAAGGCTTTATATATAAACCTTCATGTTAATCTCTTAAAAAAAAAAAAAAGCTAAAAACTTCCAATGATATTGTAAAGAATAAATTTATAGCTCACCAACCCTTGACTAATTTATGAAAGTAAACCCTTAAAATGGAATACTTAAAGAGGATCTAAACCACCTCACTTTACCTTCATAAATGCTCTCTGATCACCATTCCATACATAATATACTCCATTTCAACTTTTAAAATGAAGAAGAATGTCAATGGTACTAAACTGGTGAAGCAGATGAAATAAAACACCACGAGATGGATATAAAAAATAACACATTCTAAGTTGAAAACAAGTATTTAGGATACAAAGAAAACCAAATCTGTTAACATTACGTTATTTTAAGATTCTGACAAATATTTTAGGTTCACATTGCACTGAATTCTCCTTTCTAGGCAATCTTCCTAAAATTAAATAATTTCAATGATTAGGGAAACGTTATAATTAATCAAAACAGAGCAGTAAATGTCTTTTTTAAATATGGAAACTAGTTTATTCTCATTCACACATATATGACAAAAGTAGTATCCAGTAATTATTTTATTTAAACTCAAATATTTTAGGACTAAGGAAAACTAGTTTGTAGCTATCATTATCAAGTTTTATAAAAATATTCTTATTTAAAATGTAAAATATTACAAATAACTTTTTTCTTTACAAAATGCTATCTATGTAGAATAAAAAGACATGAATTAAATTCATCATGTCCAACAATTATTTGACATTCGCACTACATTGTTAATGAAAATATAGTTTGCACAAACGAGAAACTTTAAGAAAGTATGATTCCACGTTTATTTAAATAAAAATTTAAAGCATAAAATTTAATTTATTTTATTCTAAAAAGTTCTACTTTTAAAAAAATCACCTAATAGTAAATAACAGGAGAAAATAAAAAATTAAAACAAAATTAAATTTAATTAAAATAGAAAATTATACTTAGTCACTTATATCGGGCTCATGGCTACTGTAAAGTTTGACTTTTCAAATTGCATTGCAATGTTCAATTTTATCACACCTTTCAAATTAACATAATGCTTTAGATAATGATAGTAAAAATATCAATAAAAATTAATGTCAGTCATGCTTTATTTCTTCTTCTGAATTTATATTAGTACTGGAACACACAATATCTTTTGGTATGTAATCTACTATTCAGATGTGTATTTCATACTTTTGGAAGCTACATTAATTACTTATGACTTCAAATTCATATAATAAAGACTCCTACCTTTAGTTTAATCAGCACAATAAATTATATCCTATAATTTTATTTCATGTTCTAAAAGAACATGAAATAAAATTATAAATATACATCAAACAATATACATCAAAATCTAAAGCTTTGGCATAAAATTTATGGCATCTATTCAGTGACAGGTTTTCTGAGCAAGACCAATATAATATGGATTGATTTAGAAAGGAAATTGAAAAATCACATGCAATAAAATCCAATGGATGAGCTCGTAAGTACCAGGAACCTCATTAGGCAAGGATATGTAAAAATGAAAAAAATATGTGATTCTGGCTCTCTCAAGATTCTACAGGACAGGAATCAAATATATGAGAGGTTATTTCAAGTAATAAGGTAAGCATGTAATGTTTAAGAACAGTATACTGGGAATACACAGGAAGGCATTATACTCAGCCTAAAGCAGGTAATTGTCAACCTTTCTGATGCTTTGACCCTTTAATACAGTTCCTCATGTTGTGGTGACCCCCAACCATAAAGTTATTTTCGTTGCTACTTCATAACTGTAATTTTGCTACTGTTAATGAATTGTAATGTAAATATCTGTGTTTTCCAATGGTCTTAGGCTCTACAGTTGTGACCCACAGGTTGAGAATTGCTAGCAAGGTGGCCTAAGACCATTGGAAAACACAGATATTTACATTACAATTCATTAACAGTAGCAAAATTACAGTTATGAAGTAGCAACGAAAATAACTTTATGGTTGGGGGTCACCACAACATGAGGAACTGTATTAAAGGGTCAAAGCATCAGAAAGGTTGAGAACCACTGGTAAAGGTTTAAAGAAAGGTTCTTGGAAGACAGAGATTACAGAATCACAAAAAAGTATTAGCTAATTTACAAGAGTAGGGGATAAGAATACTAGTATTCTAAACAAGAGCAACAGTCAAGACACAAGGGACAGTAAGAAAATATTTGGTGTTCATTTACATAAGGGCAAAGTAATTTCCAAGGAATTTTTTGAGATAAGGCCAGAGATAGGAGGGAGTTAAGAGCTTTAGATAACACTAGAGGCCCAGTGCACTCAGGGGAGCCTTGGCCTGCACCCTCTCGCAGTCCAGAAGCCCTTGAGAATGTCTGACTGATGGCTTAGGCCCACTCTCCCCATAGACAGTAGAACATCCTCAGTGTTACTATGGAGGTGGGAGAGGCTCCTGCCACCACAGCTGAGCTGCAGTCCTCTGTGGGAGTGCACTGACCACCAGGGGACAGCTCCTGCATTGAGCATCTGCCCCCTGGTGGTCAGTGCACATCATAGTGACCAGTCGTTCTGCAGTTTGGTCAATTTGCATATTAGCCTTTTATTATATAGGATGTTATGAAGTTTGCGATTTAATTCCATAGTTAATAGGAAGTCAGTGACTGGGTTTAAAAATAAGAGAATGATATTTAAGTATATCTTTCAGGTTGCACCGTGAATAAAGACAGCAACAAGTAAACCATATAAGAGGTTATAATAGTCCCAGCAAGAAACGAAATGGGACTGAACTAATGATGTGGTAAAATTTAGAATGTAACATCACTGGAATTTGTAGTGGTCTTCAAATGGGGGTTAAAAGAAGGAAGCAGGAATCACCTGAAGATCCCAGTTCCTAACTTAGGTAAAAAGATGTATTGATGCCAATTAATTAGAATTGTTAGCAATTGCCCTTTTCTACCTTCTGGGCCATGCAACCTTATTATAAACTCTATATGGTTTAATTTTTTTCTTCCTAGACCCAATGACAAATGTAGTCTATAGCCATCAAAACTGCCTCAATTATAATAAAAATCCATTAAACTAAAAATTCCAATATACTAATTATGAAAACATACTATAGGGTTCTCTTTTATTTTTTTTTAAGAAAAGATACTTTTTTTTTTTTTACTTTGAATTTGTCCAAGAAAAAAAAATTTTAATTTATTTTTTTACCTATTTCCCTTCACATTTTCTATCCATCCCTCCACCCTCCTCCCCTAAGATTTCTTTTAATATTTCAAATGAAAAGCCCAGAACTAGGTAGTCCTAAAGTGGTTGCTCCTTTGAAAGTCATCTACTTTCTGCCAAAATTAATATGCTGAACTTACCAGATTACATTATAATGCATTTTTTAATTTTCACACAGCCAGGAGTCTTTTCTTCTTTGCTGATTTTTTTCAATCTGTATTGTCGGATCTCTCTCACCAATGTATAAAAAGCATCCTCCACTCTCTGCATTGTAAAACACAACTTCTTTAAAGTCTGTTTCATTGGTAATAGTAATTTATTGGAACAGCCATGTGTAATTAGTTTGAAATTATGAGCTTTACTTAAAAATTTATTTTTAAAACAGACATCAGATTGCTTGAATAAAATTGGGGATGCAGTTTTCAAATATGGCTTGAATCCTGGTTTGTTCTTTAAAATCAGTTTTGTTTTGTAATGTAATTAGATTTTTTTTTTTTTTTTAGAAAACTCAAATTAGCAATTAGGGGAGATTCTGTAAAACTTAAGTACAGGTATTAGTGCAATCATTTTAGTTTGCTAGTCACAGAATTAATCAAAACCTAAAGTTAGGTTTAAATTTTTTCTTTGAGTTAGGGGAAACAAATGCTTTTTATAGCACTGACCTCCCCCCCTCCCACTCCAATCCCACATGGGGAGGAGAAAAGTGGTACAAAAAGGATTTTAACCTTTGTTTAAAAAAAATAAAAAAATAAAAAAATAACACCTGTCTCACACACCTAAAAATAAAGTCAGGTCAAAAGATTGGAATCTTGAGTTCTATCTTCAATTACAACACTGTCTAGTGACTTTCTAGGATGGACAAGTGAAACTGAAACTGGGACTTTTGTGGATGGATAACTACATTATTTAAATTCTAAACATTGTGAACTGTTCAATATACACAAAAAACAGCAGCAGTGCATTCTGTATCTTTATAAGTCTTAAAAAATAATTTTTTGAACATAATCCACTTATACTGACCTTATATTTTCTAGCATTCTAATTCAAATATTCTAAATAAGCAAATGGACTTCTGCTATAGGAAGAAAATTATGGTGACAAACACAATTATACATGGAGATCAACAATATATTTTCCAGTCCAGAATATTAGGCAACAGCCAAGTGGGACAAAGTGTTTAGTTAACTGTACTGCTGCTTTGTCTTAAAAAAATACCATCATAGTAGAAGTTTACATCTAAAAGAGAAACTCACACAAATATTCATCTACATGTAGTGCAAACTAACTTAAAAGATGTAACTTATGTATATTCTTCTCAAAGAATGAAGTGTTTAAGAAAGCTGGTCTACTTTATTGTACATTTAACTTCAAACTTACTGTTTTTAATTTTATTTAAACTTTTAAGAATGAATTACTATGGAGATTGGAATATTTTCTCTCTCTAAAATTGGTAATATTAGTCTATGAGCCAAATGTGACCAAATGGACTTAACACCTAAAAAGCTAATACATGTCAAATGTAGGATTTGTAGTTTTAAATTAAATCAGGCACACAGAATCAGCCATTTTAGTATTAACTGAAGTAAATTGACAGGTAAGGCTTAATTTCTTTATGCCAAAGTCATTGCATATCCATAGCTTGTAATAAAGGAAGAGAAAGTACTTCAATTCATTAACTTTTATCTCAAAAATCTATCAACTGCTTTGGTAAAGTTTGGTAATTTACCATTAAAATAAAACTTTAACTTAAAATTTATGAAATTAAGTTTCAGTTAAGTGGGCATTTAAATAATATTTTGACTGTATATTAAAATGTATACCTCAAAAGTACTTATATTTCTATTCAGTTATCTCATATAAAAATCACTATAGCCCTAGAAAATGTGCACCTTATTTTTAATGGAATCAATCAATTACTAGCTAGCTACACAATAAAAATTTCCAATAATTTTCTGAAATCATTAAATATGTATTACTTTAAATTACATTACCACTTGTACCTGTATATAAAATTTTTAATATTTTATATTTACCATTAATTCTCAAGGAAAGGATTTACTTTTACTCCTAAGACCTTGAAAAAGTAATATATTAAAAATTATCACTGCTAAGTAAAATATTTTAAGGCATTAAAATGACTTTTGTAAAGCATGTAAAATGTAAAGCATAAGCTAGCATTTGACATATTTTCACAAATAATACTTTTTAAATTTGAAAATGTAAGAAATTAAATATATATATTTAACAAACCAGGTAAAAGCTCATATTTGTTAAGAATGTAAAGATTTACTATGCCTGTTTTTAAAAAGTTACAAGGTCAATGTAGAAGTACTCAAACATTCTATGAGAGGAGAAAAACAGAGTTTTGGTCCTCTACTAATTTAGCAGAAGCAAAGTTTGATTGTAACTTATTTTTAAAATCAGTCTGAAAGAATCTACTTCATAATAGTGTGAACACCCCATCACCGATACCAGAATATATAATTTTGTTTCCAGCAATGCAGAGAGAGAATTGGAAGCCAATGATTAAAAAGAAGAGTTTATTACCCACCACCAAAATATCCAATATTAGCACCTCAGTTGCTAAAATTATTAACACAGAAAAAGTTATTCCCAATAACTTTTTTATTAAATTTGACTAACAGAAAATTTAAATTAGATTTTAAGGAATCAATTATTTACCATATTTTCTCAGATTTCAATACTTCTTATTTCTTGGGTAATATGCTCTAAGGTTATACTGACATTGAGAGATTATTATATATCCTTGTATGCACCTTAACTACTGGCACTGGCACAGAACAATGGTTTCACATGCCAAAATTTGCAGGTAATTTTTAAAGAAATTATAACTCAATACCCAACTATGGATAGTTGCTAAGCATTAACTGGCGCTTAATAATTTATTCCTGATACTATGGCATACTACTGTATATAATCATTTTCAAATGTCACTTTACTATACATTAAGAATGGAAAATATTTATGAAAGAACAAATATGTACAAGTTTATACAAGTAAATATTTTTGAAAAATCAAAATATTTGACAATATTTTCAGCTCAGCTACTATCTGAACATACTTATGAGACTAAGGTAATCAAGTACTCCATACTAGATAAAGAACTGTTAACAGCATCATTCCATATCCTAGTGTCTATAATGCTTTCACAACTAAGATTTCATTTTAACCAAGTATTTGTTCCTACTGAATGGCTTATTACCTGCAAAAATTCTTGCAAACCCAAGGAAATAATATTCTATTAGACAGTCACATGCAAGAATATTAGCCTTCTTGGGGGAGAGGAATAAGAGAAACAAGGTAGTAAATTCTATAAAGGAACTGTGCACTGCCAAATTTCTCTAAAAACTTTGCAAATTACAGCCTTGACAACTTAAATTCAGCAATACCACTAATAGTGAAGCTAAGTAGGGCATATTGGAGGTGCTCAGTTACTGTTCTATTTTTAACTCATAAAAAGCTAAAGTTCAAAATATTGACCTCATGTACACAAATTCAACTACTTATAAACAAAAATATGGTACATAAGGTTTTTGTTTGGTTAGTTTGTTAAAATGATATGATCAAAAACTTTCTTTAATGGAGGTCTTATAACAACTAATTTTCAGTATCTAGAAATTACCAATAAAAACCAGGATCACTCAACATTTTTAAGTTCATAAAACTAACTCACATTATGCTCAAATTGAGACCTTTAGAAAGCAAAAAAGCTGAATCAGGAGTAGCAAATATCTGAGACTTCTGCTTCTGTCATCCACTTTGATCGCAGCATACTGGAAAACACACAGCTGACTACCATGGTGTCAATGTTTTGGTTTCAGCAGCCTCTGCCCACACTGCATGCACTGCCCACAGCAGCCAGGAAAATCAGGCAGCTGCTATCTGCCCAGATAAATGTAAGCCAGGTAGCAGTCTTTACACGGTAGGAACATGGGACCACACACAATGCATACTGGCAGAAATAAACATTACTTTAGCCTTTCAAATGTGGATTAAAATGATTGGAAAGAAATATAATTCATTACATCCTAGCCATGTAGTGGGCTTTTTAAAGTTGGTGAAATATATATTCTGCAATCCTTATCTTAAAAAGCATTAGGAAAAATGTCCCTGTTCTCTCCCTCCACACATAACTACTTCCCTTTCACAGAATGAGTAAGTTTTACTTTAGATTTTTACAGGCTAACATTAGTAATTTTAGGTTGAAAAGTCTGCCCTAACTTCTAATGTATAACCAAACAATACAGTTTCCCAGAGAATTTGGGCATCCGTACACTACAACAGAGGGCCAAATGTAGCCACATTCTTTTGTTTGTACTGCCCAAAAGCAAAGAATGATTTTTGCATTTTTAAAGGGTTACATAACAAAGAAAGAAAAAAATGCAACAGATACCACCTGTGGCTCACAATGTTTTTTTATCTGGCCCATACCAGAGAAATTGTGCCAGTCCCTGACTTATGAGAGCTCTAAATCCCTATTACCTTAAATTTAATCATTTTGATGTTAGTGTTTTAGGTTCATGCTCAAGTCCAAAATGTAGGGCATGAAATAAGTAGTTGTTGCTAAAATACAACAAGGATATGCATATTTATTTTGTTCAAATAATAGCAAATAAGTTACAAATAAAATACTCTGTAGAAAATAGGGCTTCAAATTTTCACAAAACAATGGATATAAAATTTTTAAATTTATATTTTAAATTTATAATTTCCACAATTAGTACTTGAAGAGAGCTTTATAAAGTCTTCCAAAAGCATGCAAATATCAAGTAAATTTCAACAGAAGATGAATAAACTTCTAAAAGGCAAATCAACAAGTCTATGTAATAAAACAAAGATCAGAAACTAAATATCTACATTATAGCTTAGCAACATAAATTACATAAAGATATTAATAAAATAGTATATAAATATGAGCACTAGAAGGTTAAGAAGTGAAGAATTACTTTACATCACTCTATATTTTCATTAGATGATCCACATAAATGTCTACCAAACAAATTTAAGTTAATCCACTTCCATATCAAAAACACTACATATAACTTTCTTACCTTCCCTCCCCCACCAAAAAAAAAAAAAAAAAAAAAAATAGCATAAAGCCTAAAAATCTATTTTAAAAGGAAACCAGGTAGTTTTCTAATAATGAATGCTGTGGTATATTTAAGCATTAATATCAAACTCTAAGAATGAACTAATACTTCTGCAATAGTAACCATAGAACAAAGAAAGAAGACAGCTATTTTAGGTTCATCAAATGAGAAGTGGAGGGCAGCATTGTGGGAAAAACAAGACTTCTTTTTATTGTCCTCTATTACGTTTCTACTACAACTACAGTCCAGGTACCAAAGACAGCATCCCCTGAGAGCCAGATGGATACTCAGGTCCAACCTAGACCCACTGAATTAGAATCTAGATAAGAATAAGCAGCCCAGTTAATTCCTAAACATATTAAAGTATGAGAAGCACTGCTCTATTTGCAATTCTTTACATTAGGCAGTCTCCTAGGTTTTTTTTCTTTATAAAATTTAAACTAAAATGATAACTAGTTTAAAAAGTATCTTTAAAAGTTATAACTAGTGCAAACCACTATAGGGGAACTCAATATTTGTTAATGAATAAATTGTTAATGGTAGTAGGTTTGTAAACATTTTCAATAAGATGCCTTTAATTTTATATTTGTAAAATTTTCCTAAGAAAATGGTGGGCAATAAGTTATGAATATTATAATCATGTTTTTTGAGTACCTCCCCTCTAACTGAAAACAAGGAGTCTGGTCAGAGACAACCAAAAAAAAGGAGACAAAGCCGAAACCTCTTCCCAGCCTATGGACCTGGGAATCAATGTAGGATCTTAATTCCTCTAAAGTAAAGGGTAGTGCTGTATATCAAGTATTTATCTAATCTACAAATCAAAGGCTTAAAATAGGATTTTTTAAATATATTAAACTCTGAATTTCATACAGGTAGGATAAATAATAAAACTGAAATTATTTTATTTTACCTAAAGAAAAGTTACTTTTAAATTTTAGGTAATTTTTGGCCCTCACCAGTATTGGTCAGTTGTTAGAGCATCAGCCCAAGCACCAGAGGGTCATGGGTTCGATTCCTAGTCAAGGGCACATACCTGGGTTGCAGGTTTGATTCTGGCCCCAATCAGGGTGTGTGCAGAAAGCAACCAACCGATGTCTCATTCTCACATCGATGTTTCTCTCTTCTTCTCCCTATTCCTCACTCTCTCCCTCTCCCCCTTCCTCCCACCCTTTCTAAAAATTGATGAGAAATATATCCCAGGGTGAGGATTAACAAAAAAATTAATAAGCTAATAAATAAATATAATTTAAAAAATAAAAGTCAAGATCAAACTGGCATTAATTTTTGTCAGAACAACCCAGTAAATGAATAACGGAAGTTCTATTTATTTTCTAAATAGTCTCTTGCTTTAATGAAAACTTTCTCCTAAAATATATCCTTAAAAAAACTCTACCGAAGTAAAATACTTCAAATACAACAAAATTTAATCTAGAAACATATGACATAAGACTCTTAAAAGCACTTCTAACACAGGGAACTCAATATTTGTTCCCCTGTTCTTTCACTTTATAAATATCACAGCAAAAATAATAATAATAAATAAAAAATCCCCACATTTATTGAATGTAAAATGTGCTGAGTTGAAGAAAATGTTCCATGTGGAAAGAAACCAAGCCAAAAGTAATAGCATGGAGACTGGATTAAGAAGCACTGCCCTCTCATATCCTTAAGGGAGCATTTTCCAAATAATTAATTTTATTGCCTACTTTAGTATAGCAGTAGAAAAAACTGATAAAAGTACACTCAATAATAAAATAGTTATGCTCTCAGGCTTGTACATTTATTTATGTTTAGCCTTCCTGCCCCCAAAATAACATTATTAGGAGATGGTTAATTAAAATCACTTGATATAGATAAGAGAATAAATTTGGATTTATTATAATTTTACCTACCTGTCTTGTCTTTGCTGATGTTTCAATAAAAGGAATTCCGTAACTTCTTGCTAAGTCCTGAGCCTGTTTTGTATCTACTGTTCTAGAAGGCAAATCACATTTATTTCCTACGAGGACCATAGGTACATCTTCAGAGTCTTTAACTCTTTTTATTTGTTCTCTGGGGAGGAAAAAAAAAAGTTGCATGAGAGGTATTAGAAACACAAAAATTGTACACACCTTTTCTTATAAAATATGGCATAATGAAGACTTTTAATTTAATTCCTGGTTCCCACCACACCAAATTTTCCTTGTTCCTCCATTTCAGTATTGTTTTCACCCATCTTAAAGAGCAAACTTTTATGTCTCTTAAAAGATCAAATACCTAGAAATATACTAAAACTACAACTAATAGGTTCATATATGCAATTAGGTCACATGATAAAACAGAAAATACTGAAAATCCTAGACCAAAAAAAAAAGATATGCCCAATTTTTTAAATTATAATCTTAGAAACATATACTATATATGCTATTAAAAGTGTGTATAGAATTTAAAATGTTTTTATAAAAAACATGAATTATAACGTTAATTTTCACATTTTTCTCAAAAAAAAAGCAAGTGCAGTTTATTTCTGTGTGCTACCCTGTTTATTCTGAAAAAGTCCTTCTTTTTCAATAAGATGTGCATAAACTCTAAAATTTGCAGTAAAAATAACTTCCTTCAAAATTTTAAGTGAATTTCAAAGATGCAGCATGAAAAAGTCAACTTTTCTACAAAAATATTACCAACCACCCAAATTTCTTTTTCTGTATTATTAGACTAGAGAGAAAGTGTGCTGTAAAAAATGTTAAACATGTTAACTAGGCTAACTCACTGTTAAAACATAGCCAATGAATGGGATATTTGCTGAATATGTAGTTTTACAAAAACTGTAAACCCTCAAAGAAACAATAAATAAAATTAATAGTGATTATCTTTTAAAAAAAAAAGTCAGTTTTAGGCTGATTTATCAGTTTCTTTAAAAACTGTAATTGTTCTAATACCTGTCGTTTACAACTTCAAAGTTTTGGGTTTTTTTTTTTCTTCTTCTTTTCTCTTAAATAGCTAATATCCGATTCCAAGAAATTCTACACTAAATATACTCGATTATTTTTAAGGCTACTTAAGTGGCACTCCCTCAGTTACATTTTCCTATTTTTATTGGTGGTTTTCATTTTTATGCTAGCCCTAGCTTACAGCCTTCTCTAGTGTAGAGTGGTTAAAAGCACAATTTTTGGAATCAAACAGGCCTACGCCTCAATGCCAGCACCGCCATCTATGCAAGTGGAACAAGTTTCTCAATTTCTCTAATTCTCAAGAACTTCATCTGTAAAACAGGGATATTACCTACCTCATAATTATTCTAAAATTTAATTTAGATAATTTATGTATGGTTGTTAGCAAAGATTCAATAAGTGAAATAATATAATTAGTCCTAATGTCAATTTACTATGTTCAATTTAAACCCACCTATAATGGTGAATATCTTCAAATGATTTAGTATTATTTATGGCAAATACACAAAGAAAGCCCTCCCCAGTCCTCATGTATTGGTCCCTCATTGCACTGTACTCCTCTTGACCTGCAGTGTCGAGAATATCCAAGAGACAGGTTTCTCCATCAATTACTACTTGTTTCCTGTAGGAATCCTGAGAAGGGAGAAACACAGTCTAGATTATTAGGGTACTTTTACTTTTAAAAAAGTGTTAGACACAACTCAAGAAAAAGAACCTAAATCACAACTGGGCAAATGACTTGAATAGACATCTCTCCAAAACAGACAAATGACCAATATGCATAGGGAAATATGTTCAACATCATCAGGGAAATGCAAATCAAAACCACAACGAGTTATAGTTTCCCAGCCATTAGAATGCCTATTATTTATAGCATATGATCCAGTAATTCCAATCCTTGATATATAACCAAAAGTATTAAAAGCAGGGAATCAAGCAGATATTTGTATCTATTTAATTTGTATCACAGCAACATTACAATAGCCAAGATGTAGAAACAACTCAAATGTTTATTAACAGACTAGAGGCCTGGTGCATGAATTCACGTACGGGTGGGGTTCCTTGAGGGGGCCTGCGGGGATCCGGCTGAAACCAGAAGTCCAATGCTGCCTGCAGCCCCTACCTGCTCCTGCTTATCCTGGCCCCACTGCACCTGCCGCAAGCTCATGCCCAATCAGTCCCAATCAGTCGAGGCTTGCATGCCACCACCTCAACAGCAGTGCTCGCCAGCTGTGAGCCCTGCATCTGGCATCCTCCTGAGGGGAGTGGCCTGTGGGATTGAGCTGAAACTGGCTCTCCAACATCCCCTGAGGAGTCCTGGATTGCAAGAGGGTGCAGGCCAGGCAAAGGGACTCCACCAATGCACTATCGGGCCAGAGAGGAACTGTGGGAGGGCTCCAGGGCATGTCCGGCCCTGTCTTGCCCAGTCTCAATCAGCCAGACCCCAGCAGCAAGCTAACCTATCAGTTGGAACATCTGTCCCCTGGTGATCAGTGCACATCATAGTGACTGGTCAACCAGTCGATTGTCTGCCCCCTGGTGGTCAGTGCATGTCATAGCAAGTGCTAGAGCAGCCTTAGCAAATCATTAGCATATTACACTTTGGTTGAACAATCGACTGGTCACCAGATGACCAGACACTCAGGATATTAGGCTTCTATTATTTAGGATGAGTAGATAAACAAAATGTGATATATAAATACAATAAAATATTACTCAGTCATAAAAATGAAAATTCTAATATATGGTACAACATGGATGAACCCTGAAAACAGAAGGCTAAGTGAAATAAGCTAGACACAAAAAGACAAAACTATTATTCCACTTACATGAGATACCTAAAATAAGTCACAAAGACAAAAAGAGGTCACCTGAGGCTGGGGCAGGAGGGGTTAGAGTGTTATTGTCCAGTGGATGCAGAGTTTTAGTTTGAGATAATGAAAACAGAGCTAATGGCTGCCCGACACTGTGAATTTACTTAATGTCACTGGATTGTACACTTAAAAATGGCTGCAATAGTAAATCTTATGTTATATATATTACCACAATTTTTAAGAAGCTGTTATATAGAGATTCAACAATGGAAGTGTACATATTATAAAAAGACCCAAACTCTTATAAAAAAAAGTTATCGATATTATAAAAATGTGATAGCTCTACCAACTGTTATTCAGAAAAAAAAATTCAATCAGCTTACAAATAAATGTCATGAATCTATTTTACTTATAGTCAAAGGAATATAAAGAGAATGGTCAATACTGAAGATTTAATGCCCTTAACCATTTCTGAAATCCTGGGAACAGTATCTCACAGCCAGGTGGATATTAAGATAACTCTCAAGAATACGACTTCTATCTGCAAATTCTGTGGGGGAGAATCGATGGTTATCTTAAAAAACCTATGCAACACCAAACTGAGTAAGGAAAGGGGGTGGGTAACATCAATGGAATCTTAAAATGAAAATCTGATTTTCTTTGACTTTTGATTTATACTCATGCCTAAAGGATTTCACACACACTCTGCCAAAACAAGCCTCAAAAAAAAAAGGGAAAAAAAAGGAAAACAGAATGGTGCAATGTGAAGGCATGGAATAAGAGGCAGGCTGTTGATGGGTATAAAGCATACACCAAAGGCACTGTTTTGTATTGTTCTACATGAGGGCTTTGCACTAAAGTGTCTATTTGATGAATTACTTTATAGACCATTCCATCATTAAAAAAGAGAATGGGTGCTTGCTTCAGCAGCACATATACTAAAAAAAAAAAAAAAAAAAAAAAGAGAGAGAGAATGGTCATTAAAGGTCATGTTTTTGATAAAATACTTTCTAAATGTTCACAATAGAATACAAATATATATCTTGTGGAAGGGCAAAAATAGGTTTACAGTTGTCAATATGCAAGGTTATTCCTGCATTATTTTTGTATCATTTTCCATAGAAACTGTAAACCTACTTTTGCCCATCCCCTATATGTAGCATGGTCCCAATAAAATATATGTACATAGCTGTACCTATACATATATTTAAAAACCTATGGTATTGCATGAAAATGTTAATAAAGGCTTTTTTTTTTTTGTACTAGATATTATTAAATGTATTCCTTTTTTGGCTTTTACTTTTTAAAAGTGTGAAAGACGACCATGTTAGACTGTGATCTAATGGTTATCTTTTAAAGTAAACTGCATCTTCCATACTATCCATAATAAAATTAGTCCATTATCAGAAAAGAAGGACAAATATTTATCTTGAGAGCAAAGTACAGTGTCTTAGAATCAATCCAATCACTACCCAGATATGGCTGGAGATCAAAAAGACTTTTCCTGACCTGTTGCTGTTACCTCATGTCCTTCACTTACCAATACTAACCTAAGTTAACCTTTAGCTGATAGTTTCCTTAGTCTTTAAATATAAAATGTTTTACCAACAAAATTAAAAGACTATAGTTTCTGGAGCCACACAAGTCTAGACCAAAGGTGTGGGTGGGAGATTATTCACCATCTCCCCACATATATAATGACTCCAAACTGTAGCTCAATAAAGTCCCATTTATAAAATTTTCAAATACTCTGTTTTAAAAGTATTTAGTGTGGAATATTTGTAGTTTCTTTATGTATTTCATGACACATTTTCATGATGAATATTCCATTGAAAAGACTAAGAAACTGGGAAAGTAGTCCCACCCTATTCACCTATCTCATTCCTATTACATTTTCCCTTCTATAACCTAAAAATATTAACAGCTAAGATCTGTGTTATATTAGGTTACTGAAAAAAGTAATCTACAACCTACATAAAAACAATGAGTAGAATCTGATTAAAAAGAATATTAGAAAGAATTCATTATTTCCAAAGTTAATTTTAAGTAATCACTGAACTATATAAAGACACAGTGTCACTTGGTCAAAACTTAAGAACAAAGATGTTAAAAGGCAAAGCATGATCTGAAAAACAAACAAACAAACAAAAAAAACTGATAGGTTTGATTACATAGCAGAAAATAAGCACAACAAAAACAATATATAAATACTAAAGATTTTGTTCCAACTTCAGGCTAGACATTGGGAAGAAGTATATGGAATCAGAAAAAAATTTAGTCATCAGTGTAAGGTCTTTCCAAAGACTAGAGTCTAAATAAGAGTTTAGCAAACTATTGCTCACAGGCTAAATCCTGCCCACCTGTTTTTGTCTGGCCCATGAACTAAGAATAGTTTTTACGTTTTTAAATGGTTATTTAAAAATAAAACAAAGATTATGTGACAGAGCCATATGGCCCTTTATAGAAAAGTTTGCCAATCCTGCTCCATGCTAATAAAATAACTTTTCACAAGTCTGAAATATTCTCAACACATATTAGTTGTTCCTTTTATACTTAAAATATAAACCATCTCCTGAGAAAGTACAGGTTATTCAAGTTCAACCAATTTTAAAAACCACAGATTCTAAAAAGAAATTGTTAGGAATAGAGCAAGAAAAGAATCAAAACCTAACATTCTTAATTATTATTATGTCTACCCTTTCAAATAGGAATAATTTTTAGATTAGGTACACAGATTACTAATATCCTTTGGAAACTAAGATAAAATAAAGTCACTTTACATAATAAAATATTAAATGTAAGAAAGTTATTCCATATATTTTCTCTCACTCTCAGTTACAGTACTATGGTTATGCTTACTTAAGTACCAAAAGCAAAACCTTTTCTAAATGCAAAAGCTAATCATAGAACTTAAACATTTATAGTGATACAATAAACAGGCACAAGCCTTTTGGAAAGCAGTTGCAGTAGTTATCAAGAACCACACAAATCTTCATAGCCTTTGACACAATGCCACTTTTGGTAAATGATGCTAAGGAAATATGATTTCCTTTGAAATGATAGTTAAAATTACATAGGTATTTAATACCAACCTACAATCTTACCCCATTGATCTATGTTCAAAATACACTCCAAATCCAAGCACCCACCAGCACCAGCATCCTGATCCACAATTCCATTTTGTCTTATGTAATCTCCTACAACTGCTTCCTAGCAAGGATCCCTGTGGTTACTCTTAAATGATACATGCTCCACATAGCAGCTAGTAATTATTTTTTTAAATGTCACTTGCTTTAAATGTCACTAGCTTGCTTAAAGTCCTCGAATAGTATCCCTTCATTCTACAAAATGAAATGCAAAGGACTGAGCCCTCTCTTTACATAGCACCTCTATATTTCCTTCATATCATGTATTATGATATATTACTAATATATTTATTTGTGTAATTCTTTAAGTCTGTACCCCCTACTAGGTTTTAAACTCCATGACGGTTGAACTCAAATACTCTGTGTGTAAGTTTTAAACATAGCAGATAATCAGAACTGTCTGTTAATAAATTAATCCATTCAATGTAAATAAGTGCACACACTATAAAACTGTCTTGTCAAAATACAAGTTTAATAGTTTAAATTATATTTTAAAATTATGTTATAAATTTTTATTTTTTTATTTTATTTTATTTTTATATTTTATTGATTTTGTACAGAGAGGAAGGGAGAGAGACAGAGAGTTAGAAACATCGATGAGAGAGTCATCAATCAGCTGCCTCTTGCACACCCCCTACTGGGAATATGCCCACAACCAAGGTACATGCCCTTG